CATTTTACAAAGTATTGATTGATAGAAACGTTTAAAGCATTCATTTTCAAACTCATACATACCCAACATGAATATAAACCTATAAACTATTCAATAGTTATTCAAAAGATATACACAACGAGAGATTAGTACATGACAGTCAAATGTGTGGGTTACATACATAATATGGAGTTATTCATAGAAATGATCAGTTGCTCATAAGTCCTTTTAGCATCATTTAGGTGCATATATCTGCAAAAGACAGTATCTCTGTCATTCTGTGAACGTGAGGATGTGCTTTGTGAGGAACAAAAGGTCAAAAGGTCTAGAAGGAGCCTGGTCTTTGTCCTGGGTGAGGGAAACCACACAACGCAGTCTCTACTAATGGTTTCCCTTATGTGATGGTCATGATGTTGTCTCATCAATCATTAATCTTGGGTTTCTTGCCCCAAATTTGACAATCTCATTCCTGAGTTGGGATTATCAATAAGTGTTCTTTTGTGTTAATGTTGCAAGCTGTTCTGTGAAAGAGTTGGTTGGTTAGGCTTGCTTCAGACTGGCTGGTGCTAGGGTATCGTGGACAGATTTATGACATTGTCTTGTCCTGGGCTTCTTTGTGGAATTTGGCTCTTTGGGTTGTTTTAACACCAATCTGATCGAATCTTAAATTGTCTGATTCTCTCTGATACCCTACACACCATTATGATGCCTAATGGTCTAGAACAAATCTGAGTCAGCCTTAGACATAACTAAGAAAGTACTTAATGATAGTAATTATTATTTGTATAGAGACAGAATCATGTTAAAACAAATGGATATTTACATAGACCGTGGGTTACCACAGACAGCACAAATGCATAATATGTGCAGATTTTTGAAGGCAGGATGTTACACAACTATTATGTTTAATGTCTTGATGCATACTAAGTCAATACATTCAATTGTCCACCTTGCTGATACTGAGGCTCAACACTACAAAGCAGGAAAGAAAGTAAGTATGGAACGAAAGTGTGCGTTAGGAAACAAAATGATAAAAAAAAATTTAAATAAAAATGCACAAAGGGATAGTCAGTTATGCATTTCTTTTGCTCTTTACAAGGCAAAAGGACTAGGGAGGAAGGAAGCAGTAGGCGAAAGTCTTATGATCTTAACACGCTTCCTTTGAACGCTGCCTTATGGGACCAAAGGTTTAAAAAAAAAGCACAGTGCTGGAGATTACTTGGAATACCGATGGCACAGTGCAACAGAATTCCACTGGGAGACTGAGGGACATTCCGAGAAAGCAAATTATGGCTGGGAGAAAGAAGCGGCTGAGCTTTGGTAAGGGCATGCACATGAATATCTGGCACTAGGGGCTGGTCTCTTTAAGACTCTGTCATGTTCTCTGCTTCAAACCCTGCTCTTTGCTACTAGTTCTGAGTCATAACATAAAATGCACACATAACACTGATCCATATTTCATCATAGTGAATTCATGTGAACCTACATGTGTGTGACGAAGTGTTTTTGAATGCATGTGATGTTTCTTTAGATGTAGTGAAATCTTGAGACACTCTGAAATCGTGTGTGTGTGTGTGTGTGTGTGTGTGTGCGTGTGCGAGAGAGAGAGAGTGAGAGAAAGACAGACAGAGAAGACAAACAAGAGGGAGACCAAGAGATAAAGGAGATGTGTGTTTGCACCTGCGTTCGGGTGTCTGGGTGAGTGTGTAAGGAAGCATGTGTGTTTACGTGAACCAGGACAATCTTTCTCTCTCTGCGCTATCTATCTATGAGCCATTATTCAGAGAGGGAGCTGGTGAGTCAGATGTGAGCTGCTGGTGGTTTTTCAGAGTGTGGCGTGCTGCTTGTATAGATGTCAGGTGAGATGAGTGGTTCAGGCCGTCCGGGAGCCTCTCTGCTCCTTCCAAAGCAGCTGCCACCAGTCTGTCAAAGAATTGCTCTGCTACATCCTATTCTTCCCTCTCCCCCCTCCTTCTGTCTTACTTACACACCCACTTAATAATGAGAAAAACATCTAGAGTGCAGCCAGGGTCATATTTTCCCCCTAAATGAGTTACAAAGTCCACATGAAAAGCTCAATAGCCAACAAATGTGTTCCCCTGAAATGCGTTAGAAAGTCCACATAAAAGCCAATAGTCAACAAATAGCTGTTATAAAGGAAAATTGATAACATATCCTCAGATAAACCTCTGTTATTGTGCTTAACTGAAGCATACTCTACATTTATGCTATGATTATTACATATTTAGAACCTATTTGCAAACCAGGCAGGCATTTTATTAACATTTCCGCCTATATTTTCCCTCTAAGTTTGTGATGGTGCTAGGCATTTAGATTTAACATTTAAATTTAATTACCGCCTCCATCCTTGTCAATACGGCAGCCTCATTTATCAAAGAGACAGACAGAAAGCGCAGCTTAACCGCCAATAAACATTTGTTTTTAATTCTTTTACTGGAGCGCCGACCGAAAGCGCTTTGCCTCGCTTGCGGTTACGCCGTTAATTGGGAGAAGAAACACTTTTGGATCTGAGGGGGCCGGGGGATTTTGAAGCCTTTATCTAGAGCTGAATCAAAGCCGGCGTTAATAATACACCCAATGAATAAAATATTTGTTAAAAGGCGTGGAAACAACAGACGCACAGTAAAAATAGGCCAGGCTCGAGGATGCTGTACTACTCCGCAAATGAATCAACCTCTCTCACAGCATACAGAATATGCAAAATGTAGCGCCGCCTTTGGTGTGAAATAAACAGCGCAAATTTGAATACGGTGCCCGACAACTACTTAGGAGTGTACAAAGAGTACTGAGCTTTTAAATGCAACACTGTAGAAAACAATACTCATAGATTGTGCAGAGAGAGACATGTTTTCTTTTATGTTTTCATGTTTGAAAATAACTCAAATTGCATGTTGTTGTGCAATAACAAGTTTACACACATTTCACTTTGCACAATGTCACTCTGCAGTAGTGATGAGAATAACTACAGTACTTTTACAGTACATACTTTCTAGGAAATAAACATTTGGAGGGGAATGTTAATCTTATTGCACTGCCAAATAATGAAATAATTCCAGATTTTAACAGAATAATAAAAAAAATAAATGCATTTGAATGACTTGTGTGACAGACGTCATCTTACCCTAAATCTTTACAACTTATTTACAACGTACACTGATTTGCAGAAGCTAAGTCTGAATATAACACAATAACAGTTCTTGCTTCATTTGAGTAGGGCAGTGGTTCTGACAAGAACAGTTTAGCCAGATTGATTCAGTATCCGCTAGCATTGATTTTGATTCACTATAAACAACCGGCTCATAAGAGTCATTTGTTCTGAAATTAAACAACAACGGTCACGCTGAATGTTTGTCATTCACAAAAAAGAGCCGACTCATACGAGTCATTCGTTCGGGATCATGCTGTACTGTTGGCGATATATGTTTGTGAGTCACTAAAACGGACCTGTTCATAAGACTCGTTCTGTAAGAATTCGGACTACATTGATCTCAATTTATGTTTATGAGTCACCAAAAAGAACCTGTTCATGAGAGTCATTCGTTCGGGAGTCGGACTGCACTCATCGCACTGAGTATAGTACGGTGTTCCGTCGGCGTGAAAAAGCATGTTCGAGAATCCTTAATGGAATCCTCTAAATCCATAAAAATCATTCGATTTCGGTCTTTTTAAAGAGTGGAAACAGTTCCCCGCTCCCAACCCTACTCTGCAGCGTCTCTGTCAGAAACAAAGAGGCAGCGCACTGAGTGCAGCAAGCTATATCCAGCTCATTCATACTCGCAACATATCGGGATAGCGAGAGATGCCCGCGTCCACACTACTACATAAAGTACAAAATAATGAATAAATCAACACTGCGACGAGCATAATCTTTCAGATCGCGCGCATTCCCGGCTCCCCTTAGACTTTATCGAGAAATGTCGCACCTCTGCCCGGCACCATTTATATTTATTTAATGCTGTTAAATTATTCTGTTTGAGAGAAGAGATTGTGCCTTCCTGATGGCGTTGGTTGTGAAATTATTAAGAGGTGTTTCTTCTGTTTTGGAGACTGTGATCAGCACTTCTCTTATGCAGTAGACCTCAGTCTGTGGCTTTTAACACACTTTTCCAAACCCTCAGAAGGGTGTTAGCTGATAGCCATTATCATGGTCACACCTGGTTCATCTTTCTTCAGTTTTTCCCTTTCTAAGTCTGCTGTCTGGATGATCTCACTAAATGGGGCACTGGACAACATCCTCAAGTATGTCATGTACATTAGGCTATAGCCTCCAGTCCAGTATGCATATAATGCATGATTAGTCAGAAACGCAGCCACTTGTTCCATGTACTGATGCTCTCGCGATTGCATCAAACAACAACAACAACAAAAAGTTCCCAAAGCACATCTATTCAATCCTTAACACATACATACACACACACACACACACACCATATTTAAGAGGTCAAGTTTTCCGTGTGCCAGAGTAGCCTATTTCTTCATATCCTCACAAAAGGGGAAAAACTAAAGTTTACAAAAATAAATGCACCAAATACCAAAAAAACTATGGCACTCATGTTTCGGACATGTACCATCATTTATTAGGCCCTACCTTGCAGAAATATGCAAATACATATATTTCAGTAGCTATTATATGTTATGTAGCTACCACATGATACCATCACTGTACCTCGGCACTGCCACAGTACTTTTCTGTAGGGGCACAGTGAGCAGTATATCAACATCAGCTGCATTATGCTGGAGTACACGCCTGTATTGGACAAGTTTAATTTCCAAATTAGCCTTGTTTGCATTTGGCGCAGTGCCACTCGCCCAATATATCGGCAGGGTCTTACTAGGACCTCATATGTCACAAAATGCAATTATGACACACCTAAAAACCACTGCGTTAACTTCAAAACGGGGCGCGCTGAACGATCGGTAATCGCGCTATGATTAGGCTAATACACAAACATCCGATTCTATCATTAGAATAGTTACTGAACTAAAACAAAACGTCTTACCTGTTCCTAAAAGGCACAATGCGATGTAAAACGTCAACATCTTTCCGGAGTCTTCAACACTTGTCCTGCAGTCTAGACTGAAAGTGTGCGCACGAAAGCTCCGGCTGGACTGAATGTGGAAGCTGGTCCTCGCCCACCTCTTGAATTGGGTAAAAAATTAAAAACACAGCAGATTATGTTAACCTCAGCTCTGAGAAGCTGGAAGTCTCTACTGCCATCTGAACACAGTCTAAGCATCAATGCCGGTTGTCTCTTTAAAGTTTACAACTTTCTCTCGATCGTTCCCGTGTTCAGTTAATATTTCCCAACAAAATTCTGTTCAAATGAAGTTGCTTCAATGCGCAGGTCTTGAATCAATCCAAGTACTTGGAGTAAATCCTCTGTATAGGGGTCATAGAAAAAAAATCTCCGTTTCTCTTGATCAGCGGGGCTTCGCTCGTCGGTGCAACTGAGCACGTTTCAGCACCACAAGCTCTATAGCGCACATAAACGCCTCCTCTTGCGCACAGTTCCCTCCGTACTGCTCTGTTCGCTCCTCACTCTGCTGTAATGCAGCGGCAAGGCTGACTGTCGTACTACTGACTGGATGTTGGCTCGATGAATAAAACAGGCGCTTTTTTCCACTGGGGAACATCGAGTTTGAGAATGAAGTAATTCTCAGTCCACAGGGACTGCCGTTGGCCTACGCCCCCGGGTCCTGCGATTGGTTAAGGGTTTAAACTATAGGGGGGTGATAACAGTTGGGGGTGTTTGGTCCTTAAACAGAAGGGGGTGCTTGGTTATGCGCGCCTGTGAATGAATAAACTGCTGGGGAAAGTAAACAGGTGTGTCCCGGAGCAAACAGAGTCTACCGAACAGATGATCTTAATGGGGTTTCTTTGACTCAATACACATGCGATGTGATTACACTGATATCAATTAAAGTTATTTATCAATGTATGGTCGGATACGGTCTACAAGCCCCTTATAAATCGACATGCACAGCATGGAAGATTTTCAAGATTAATTAAAGATTAACTAAATAGATTTGTTTATTAATTATAAGCATATATATATATATATATATATATATATATATATATATAATGTCATCAAACTACCCATTAAACCACAAAGCTGGCAAAATGAGCATAGTTACAAAATAAGATTACTTTTATTTTCCAAGGTAAAATATGTAACCATGCCTTAATTCAAGTGCTGGTTGAATGGTCTCAAAACGAAAATATTCACGTGCTGTTTGCTACAGTGGTTGGTTGGTTGGTTAAACACATGAGTCAGCTGCAAATACCCAAATAAACTGCAGGAGAAAGAACCCATGGGGGCTTTTTCTTGACGTGTCGATCAAATATGCGTTTTGTTTTTCTTTGTATATTTACAATCAAACAAACAAAAAATACCTTGAAATACAGTCTGACATAAATAACTTTACTATCAGCTCAGGACATGTATTGCTATGTCAGAATAATATTGTAATACTGGTCACTCCGATTTTGTGTCATTAAGCCTAATCCCCAGTGGGCGCGATGTTGCAAAATAAGTAATTTCGACTGCAAAATAAATAAATGCAAAAATAAACACAACATACATAATAATCAGCGCTATTTACTTAGAAGAGCAGTTTCACAGTGAAAAATCTGTACCTCCCTATGTGATAAAGTACATAACGTAGATAAAGTACGTAAAAGAGGCGACATGTTACTGCGACAAAGCGTTCTCCAGCGCTTGGTGTTTTCATCAGCGTCGGATTCGTTCACTCGTTTTTGTTCGTTTCTTTCAAGGTAGTGTGTTTACTTTCAGAACTGTCTATTTTAATACATTACATTCATATATGTTATTATATGTAAATGTTCACACTCGTGCTTTTGAAATTTTGTTGGCTGACTCTGTATAGTGAATGAGTGATTCGGACACAGCGAATCGTTCAGATCTCTTGTGTGAACCGATTCATTGTCAACACTCAAACGATTCATTCCTGCATCAGATGTTTGAGGTGGCGTTACGTTTGTTGCCATAAATGTTGCCAACTCCGATATCAATACAGCCGACGAGTTGATTGGGATAGCAGTGAAATCAACTGTATTCACACTGGTTAAAAGGTACGCAATTGTTTTTATTTTATTTACTACTTTCACGCTGCATTGGAAATGATTACCAGCGCACAGATTGCAGGCCAACTTGTTGATACACAGTTTTAAAAGTACCTCTTAATATTCCACCTTGTTATGTCTCACGAAAAAAAAAAAACGCTGGGACTTTTTAGAAATCGAGTCAAAGAGAGAGAGAGAGAGCTGTAAAAGCATGGGGATGGTTTTGGTCTCCACCCTGTTAAGATTTATTATAGGTGAGGGGATCAAATGTGAGACTGCCGCTCACAAACACATGCTGATGAGAGAAACAGCTTGCTGGAGGCGCAGATGATGGGATTCCTGTGAGTTGAAAGAAACGAGGCTGAGTAAAGGGGCAATAGATGATCTCTGAACAACAGGGGCTCACACCTGCTGAGAGAGCAAAGTAAACACCAACAACTACTGCGTGAAGTTTACCAAGTCTTGACAGGGTGTGAGCCAGACATGTAAAGTAACTGCTACTTTCATTGGTTGAAAGCAGTCGAGGTTGATGTATCTCCTTAGTAGCCCTCTAACTTGAATATACAGTAATTTATTTTGTAACCTCACATTGAGGGTGCTGTAACCCACCATAGGCCTGTGAATACTTAAATAATTAATGTACTTATAAGAGGGGGTTTTAGACTGTAGATTTATTAATAATGGATACAGTTTGATATTTACTAAACTGTTCTGTGTTGGGGGGAGAAGGAGACAGTTAAGATGTCGTTTGCATGGTAATTGTAAAGAAAGTCATAAATAAAGCATGAGGTGAAGTTATATGGAAATGCGACTCCCCAGGAAATTAGAATATTTTAACAAAATATTATCTCGGGCCCATTTGACCCGGGGTCAATTAGAAAAGAAACGTCAGCGTCGACGAGGACGCGAGGCTGAAATTAACATTGAAGCTTTTCCTCTCCTGCCTAATTTGCAAGGCTGATGCAAAGTTGAGCTGAAACAAGTATATTGTCGTGAGATTGTGGTTTAATTTGACAAGGCGCTAAAAAGTCGATTCCGATCTCGCTCTGACAGACAACAAACACAGCTTTCTGGGCATTTGTCTTGAAGACAAACTCCATTCCCTCTATGGAGAACATTTTCTTGCTGATGTGGACAAACTGTTATTGTGCTGTCGCACAAAGGTTAAAATGTCTTTCCGTCAGTCTTAAAATGGTCTCCTCTACATCCCTTAAGTAAATATTGTATCACTTAAAGGTCAGCATTCCTTCTAAATGTATAAATCAGAGCTGCTTTATGTCTATTTCATCCAAATGTCACAGGATATATGCTATTAATAGTCTTGGGCATATAATAATGTCAGTCTTGAGTTTGTCAAATGTCTCGTTTTATCAACCAGTATGACTCTGCAGTGTAAATTAAGTGAAGACGTGTAGAATTCTGTTGTCAGCATGAAATGAAAATGGACTCTTTCTTTCATCAAAATGTAATTAATTTGCTTCATCTCTGAAATAACTTTCCATATTTTGTGATATAACCATTCTTTTTACTTAACCACTTCCCTCCAACCTGTTATATAATATATTAGTGTTATTTTAGTGTCATTGTTATGCTGTTATAGTTTTTAAAATCACATTTTAAATGGGTTTTTATTTTTATATTTTCTGTTTTAGGTTAAGTTTAAGTTATTTTGTTTGGATGTGTTTTTGTCATTTTTATTAGATGATTTTTATTATTAAAATTATACAGTTTTCATTAAGTTTTAATTTTCATTTTTTTTGGTTTATTTAGTTTTAGTTATTTTAGTACTTCAACTTAACTCAATTAAAATGAAAAATGTTGCCTTGGCAACTAGTTTATTTTAATTTATTTTAGCCTATTTTATTTCAAGTAGTTTAGTTTTCCAGTGGTCATCGGATGTCATGTTTTACTTGGAAAGGTCACATTCAAGAAGCAAATTTCATTTCATGTTGACTTAGTTAAAACTCTTCCTCAAGTTTCTCCACTTTTAAACGTAGTGCACGGCCAGCATATTTTCATCATTAAAAACATCATGCATCAGTTCAGAGTTTGCTGAGCGGTGCACAGTCTGCTACGGTCAAAGTTCCCCTCTCTTTACATCAACCATATGGGGACATTACAACAGCTCTTACTATAATTGTGTTATTGAGTACAGCCTTGATCTGTGTCAACCATAACTCTGAGTACTGCTACACAGCAATAACTCTTTATGTCTCTATATGCCAGCATCTCATGCATTCCACCAATTATTGTGAATATCATGCATTTCGGTTGAGATGCATACTAGCACTGCTTTAAACTTGACCTTTCTGTGAAGCCATCTTTGTTCTGCTATAACTACAGATACCATCATGAAAAGAACAGTCAACAACATGTCCTTCATCTCAATATCAAAATACCAGGCTGGCCATTATTGAAAGCAGAGTTGGCTGAAATGAAAGTACCTCAGGGGGAGTTCAGGAGGTATATGGTTGCTCAAGGGTCAAGGGTATGGCCTTTTGCTGGTCCACAGGCTGCTGAAAAAGGCTGTGTTATGGAAACAGGAGTGTGATAAACGCTGCTTCGTTCCATGTGCCATGCCCTTTATTGTGTGATATGGTATTCTTAGACAGGGACAGGTTTCTTTAGTCAGGTTTAAAGTTACAGAGAATATCAAGTGCCTGTGTGATATGGAATCATTTGTATATGACCCTGCTTTGGAGGCTTTGCCATTAAGATTGCAGTTTCCGAATGCAAAATGTTCTTTGTTCACTTAAATTACTCTATTTGTGTTTGGTTGTTGCTTAATTGTATAGTTTCAATCCTAGGAAAATGCCTGCATATTGTCAATTCAGAATCTTCTATTTTTTATTTTGTTTCACGATTTGTTCAGTCTGGGCTAATGAGTCAGCCCAGACTGAACAATCTGATCAATAATAGCACATTCTCATTCTCCGTGTCTGCTTGTTTGTTTCCAATTGATTAAAGTTGATTTGAGGATGTCTGCAAGAACCTAGCATTCACCTAGGAAATGTTTAGCTTTAAATTCTTAGCAAGTGTCTCCTTTCTATAGCAGCCCACAGTAAAAATGCACAATAAGGTAGCAGAGAGTGCAATATACCAGTCTAAGCAAAGAGATTGAATGGGTAGGTAGTTACAGATCACTAGGCTAAAAGAGTATTTTCTCATCCATGTCGATTTTGAATGAGGTCAGACTGGGTGACAGTATCAGGCCTTGGGTTATGTCAAGGTTGGATAAGGCCAAGTTTTCGGATGATGGCCACCATGTTTCAAAGTGGGCCATAAAGTGAGTGTGGATGGTGGATGAGTTGGGAAAGGAAGCCAAAAGGATGCAGACAAAAATTATCCACCTACTATCACAGATGTTTACTGACAGACTGGAAAGAAATTGTCCTAAAAGGTGTCACACCAATGCACTCCTTGTGTTTTTGTCTGAAAGAATATACACTGATGCATAGTTTTTTTGTTGTTCTGTTAACAGATACTTTGCATATGTTTTATTTTAGTTAAACCACATTCTTAGAAATGAAGGTGCT